GCGCGGGCGCAGGTAGGCGCGGCCTCGAGCCACCCGCGCCTCGCGCGCGCCCTGGGCAGCACCAGGAGTGCTACGAGGCGGGTTTTTCTCCTCGGCCTCCTCCTCCTCCCATCCTCTTGGTCCTTGGATGGGATGCTGATCGTCCTTTTTAGGCTCCGTCCTGTTCTTGCAATAGCGTAGCTATTGATTCTTTTCGGTCTCGTGAGCTGCTGCTGCTGCTGCTGCTGCTGCTGCTGCTGCTGCTGCTGCTGCTGCTGCTTCTGCTGCGAGGCAAGGTGTCAACGAGTGCGCACGCGCGAAAGCCCTCGGCTAATAACAACCTCCCTCCTCCTGTTCCTCCTCCTGTTCCTCCTCCTCCTCATCATTGAACACAGATTTTGATCGTGACGGCTTTCGGGCGGGTGATATCCCGTATCCTGACCAGTCCTCTTCGAACCGCGCCAGCACGCCAGGCGCGGGCCGCTCAATTCCTCGGCCGACCCGGCCGACGCACCCGCCTCGATCACCACTGCCATCGTCAGGGAGTGGGGCGTGGGGTCCACGGCCTACGCCTCGAACCCGTCCTCCGAAGATCCCGGCCAACACGGCCGCCACATCCCAGCCGAATTTTTTCGAGTCCGCCGGGCTCCGGTCTCCACCGCGGCCGCCCAAGCCACCAATCTCACCAGGCCCCGAGTCGAGCAGCACCGAGAACGCCCGAGAGTGATTCCCGCGGTTGCAGCAAAAGCCGCACGTAGTGAGGTCCCTCTCCATCACCTGCCGCGTCAGCTCTTTGGTGTTGGGATCCGACGGGGGGTCTGAGAGCCATTGATATCCGCGCACCACCGGCGGGGGATATTTCGCAAAAGCCAAATTGAAAAAACAACCCGGCCAACACTTTGCAGCAAATGTTCAGAAACCGAAGTTTCGAACGAACCCGCCGCGCCAATGCCATAACGCTCGAACTACAAGCACGCGCGCAGCGCGCCATCCCCAGAACTCGACCCGCAACTCCGACGCGCTACATGCACAATGCGTCCGTAAAGTGCGATGCCGCCGCGATGATGGCCCCGCCCCTGCAAGCGTCGCACTCGGTCTTTCCGGGGGCCGCGGGGCGCTGAGGATCGCTCGGCCGATGCGCCCGTGCCCCCCCCCCCCTGGGAACTGATCAGCAGGGCCGCTTGGCCGTCGGCGCATTGGGTCTTCTGGGCTGCCAACCAACTCGCGAGAGGTGGACTGAGGATCGCGGCGCAACTGGGTCGCTGGATCCGCGCGCCGCTGCCCCTCTGGGCCGCGAGGCAACGTGGCCACCGCGCCATTGGAGCTCGGCCAGTCTGCTCCCGTGTCAGGCCCGCCGGGCAACGGCCCACTTGACAGGCGGGCCGCCTGACCGCTGTGCAATTCGACCTCCCCCCCTCCCCTGGGCGTAGGGCCGCCGAACGGCGCCGTTGCTCGCCGTGCGCCGACGACCCCCGCGCCCGCTGGGCCGCTGGCGCACTGGGCCGCTAAGCCACACGGCTGCTTGAGCATTCCTGCAGTAGGGCCCCGTGCCGTAATCTGCCACAGAGCCCCAGACCCACCGCTCGCCGCCCCAGCGCATTGGGAGCGCGCGGCGCAGCGCGCCAGTCTGCTGCTGGACCGGCGGGCACCGCGCCACTGCAATCGCGCCGCAGCGCCGGCGGGGGCGCTCTTTTGTCTGACAGCCGGGGCTTGGGCCCAGAAACAGCGCGATGCGCGATGCGCTGCCAGTGTGGCCGCTGGGCAACGGATCCAGTGCTCCACGGGGCTGCTGGGGCGCCTGGCAGGCGCGGCCGCTGGACCTCTCGGCCGGCGGCCAACGCTGCGCCGTTCGCCCAGCGGGCCACTCGGCATGTCGGGCGGAACTTGTCCGCGGGGGCAGCGGGTTAGGGGCGTGGGGCGGCGGACGGGGTCGGCGGCCCAACTGCTGCTGGGCCGCTGTCGACGCGGGCCGCGCGACAGGCACGCCGCGCGGGCGCTCGGCCACTCGGCCTCTGGGTCAAGAGGACACTGCTCGGTTCGACCAGCGCGCCTCGTTGCCTGCGGGAGGGCGGGGGGCCGCGCAAGTGCGAATCCGGGCAACTGGCAGCGCGCCGCCGACCGGCGCGCGGCGCCCGCGGCGCTGGGCCAGCCGCGCAGACAACTGACAATGGAAAATTGTCATCGCGGCAACTCGGCAATGACAGAATTGCGCACGCGGGCAAGGGGGCGGCGGGCCCGTGGACAATATGGCCACAACCACCGAGGCGCTGAGACGCGCATCGCTGGCCACGCGGGCCACGCGGACGTCGGCGACAGAACGGGCGAGGCGCGGGCAGTTCCGAGGAGACAGGGCGCGCGGGTTCGCGGCGACCAAACGCGCAGAGGCATTCGCCGGCGCCCCTGGCGGAGCACCAAAGGAGACGCGACCGCCCAGACCGCGGAGCGGCGCGGCGGGCGACCACAAATCTCGAAGCGTTTTGGCGCGGGCTCGGGAAGGGGCGGAAGGGCGGGGGCCCTTTCTGAACAGCGCCGCGACGGCCGCAGGCCGCGCGGCGACGTCAGGGGGGGGGGGGGCGGAGGCGCGCTGCGCCGGATTTGTGGGCGGGGGCCGAGCGAGTCTCGCGGCCGCCCATGGGCGCCGGGCGCGACGTCGACGGCCGGGGCCAGCGCGAGAGCCCGGGGGGGCGCGGACAGTGCCGAGGCGCTCAAACCCCGCAGCGGGTCGAGCACTCCGCGCGGGGCGGCCGCTCTCAGAGACGGACCCCTGCCGCCGCGAATCGGGCCTGATGGGCCGGTTTTCCAACGCCGCCACTGCGAGTTGGAGGGGGGTGGCCCTCCTCCCCCTCATCTCCTTCCCCCCCCTCATCCTCCACCTCCTCCCCCCCAACTCGCGGTGGTGGCGGTGGAAGACAAGCCATCAAGGCCGCTAGAAAAAAGCGATGCGCGACGTGCGCGACGCGTCGGGCGCGCAGAATTGCAGGCGCAAGTCGCCTGCGCGAACGTTGCCTCTGCTTCCGCGCCCGCGACGCAAGTCCCCCAAATTCGCGAGCGCGGCATTATTGGCGCGGCTGCTATCCATCAAAATGTGCGAATGCAGTTCTTTGGCGCGGGGGCGCCGTCGACATTTTTGAAAGCAACTGTTCTGGCGCGACGGCGCTGTCAATATTTTCACTGCGTGCGTGGTCCTAGAATTCACCTTCGCAGCATTCCCCCGCTCGAATATTCCCCGGAAGAGAAATAAATGATCGGCAAATTTCCAGGCGCGGGAATTTCACTGCGAGCCGGGCCGCCGCGCCGGAGGAGCGCGGCGCCAAGGGCGCGCGCCCGGGCGCGGGGGCGCGGCCCCAGAGGCCCGGCGGCGAGGTTGCCGCGCGCCTACGAGCCTCGCGCGCAATGCGGGGCGCCCCGGGCGTTCGACGCCCAGTCTGCCGGCGAATAATCCTCTCGCCCCCCAATGGCGCACCCTGGGCCCCCAACGCAGTGACCGCGCCAAAGCGCCCCAATAAACGCAAACTTACAAAACAAACAATGAAATACAAACATGGGAAATGACGCGCGACTTTGGCAACCAGCCCGCGAGCGCCCAAAATGCCGCGCCGCCGCCCAAAGCTGCGCCCCCGAGACCGACCGCGGCAACATCGCGCTGAAAAAGTCCCTGGGGCATAGAAACGACTGCGGCGGCGAGCTGCGAAAGTCGGGGGCCCGCGATATCGACGGGCGCCGGCAACTGGCGGGGCGGCCTACGGCAGGCGAGGGTCGGCGGGCGGACGGGTGCAGACCAGCAAGGAGGATGAAACGAACCAAAGAAGAAGCGGACTGGACGGGGCCCAGACCGCCCACCCCTTAGCGCCATTCGACGGCCGTCCCCCCCGCGCACGCGCATAGATCATCCATCGCCACCTCCGCGGCAACATATCCACTTCCCCCCCTCCCGCCGCTCTCGACCCCCCACCCTCCGCCGCCGCGTCCCTGGCTCGCCCTGGCATCGCAATGCCGCGGCGGTCAAACAAGAACAGTCAAACAACCGCGACGAACAGCGCCGCGAATGCCGCGACCAGATCCGCCCATCGGATCCTGACACCGCGCGGCACGTTCAAACTAGAATGATTGACCTCGAGCGCAAACCTGCGCCCTTGGGCGCGCGCGAATCGATCCAGGGCCTGCTGCAAGAGACGGCATTGCATCGCGCGGAGCGAGAACGGCCCTCAACTGCTACTAACGTTCCTGCTGCTTTTCGCTGATGGGTTATCCTACAGACCACCCTCCTCTCGAGGATCCTCGATGATCCGCCGCCGGCTGCTGCCCGTGCCGACGCCAACTCTTCCTCGTCGAAGCTTCTCGTCCTCCCCCAACCCCGCCTTTTACTCCCCCTCCCCCCCCCCCCCTCGCGACCCCGTCGCCCCCCTCATCCTCCGCGCCCTTCTGCCCCCCCCCCTCGCACCCCGCCCCCTTCCCCTCCGCCTCCTCCGTCTCCTCGCCCCCCCCCCCGCTCGCCATCGTTCGCCCCTCGTCCTTTTCGCCGTCTCCGACGGCCACCTCTCCCCTCTCCGGGGCGCGACTGCCGGCGGGCCGCCGCTGCAGCGGCAGGGCCCTATGGCGCCGCCGACGACCGCCGTCGAGCCGCCCGCAGCAGGCGCAGCGCTGCCGGACGAGGGCGCCGCCGCCGAGTCGCCTGCGGCTGGGGCGGCCCCTGCGAAGGCCGCCGGGGCAGCCTCGTCGAGCGCGATCTCGAGGCGCCGGCCGCCGGCGCCGAGGGGCGACGCGACGCGCGCTGGCAGCTCAGACCGCGCCCCTTTCGCCGTGAGCTCGGTCTTCTTCTCGGCCGCGGCCTGCGGCGACCTCCCCCTCGCCCCCCACCGCCCCCCACGTCCTCTTACGCACTCCCCCCCCTCCCCCCCCTCCACCTCTTCCGCCTCTCGGCGTCGCCCTCGTCTTCCTCTTCCTTGTCTCGGACCCCCTCCTCCTCCTCCTCCTCCTCTTCCACGCCTGCCCCCCCCATCAAAATCGTCGCCGTCGCCCGC